GATTAGCTTCTCATAGAAACCACATTCATATTCAAAGTTGGAGGCTGAGAAGTGCTGCAAGTCAGAGAGATAGTTCAGGGGCATAAACACCTGCCTTACAAGCACAAGGTCCTGAGTTTGATCCCTGGTACCACAAATAAAGAAGTGCTGCGAGACTGACACGAGTTTAGTTCCTTCTCTTGGTTCCTAGGGGAACTCTGCAGGCTTTACCATGTCTTGGTGTGCTCATGTCAAGTCTGTCTTCACTCACCGCTTGCTCACCCGTGAACTTCAGGGTCCAGCCTCGGTCCAGAAGCTTCAGCCACAGACAGACCACTGAGCTTCCAGATGGTTTGCCTTTGCCAATCAAATCCTGCAGGATGCAGATGGGAGCAGCCTGGCATTTCTGCAGGCTATGTTAATGTATTAAAGACAGAGGAACAAAAAAGTTTTGAGAAGTGTACAGTAACAGTTGTTAAATAATTATTTTTCAAAATGTAATTTTATTAGTGCCTATGACAACCATAAAATGTTTCAATGTAATATTTTCATATATAAATAGAACATCCTTTGGCAGTGTCCGTCTTTCCTACTACCGTGCTCTACACTTCCATTTCCCATCTCAATTATAACTCATCAACTTCAATTTCGCTTCTGCATATTCTGCTCTCTGTTACTCGGGCTAGACTTTAAAAACCACGTTTTTTCTTAGTCAGCTTCCTCTTGGGTTTTTCCAATGATGATCAAACGAGGTATTAGAAAGTATAAGCGAGAGAGAGGAAATTATTTTCTTCAACATTGGGCTCAAAATGCTGCTTTACTTCGAATTGGTGGCTAACTTTAGATCCTGGCTTCTTCCAGCACTTACAGAACCAGTGCCATCAACTCCTGCAAAGGACTCACAGGAGCTGACAGATTGATCTCCGGGGCGTTCTGGAGTCTATTTCCATGGAGCCACATGTCCAGGCTTCAAAACATAAATACCATCTCAGATGCTCCCATTGCTTATAGAATGAGACGTAATTTATCAGAGGCTCTCCTCTGTCAATACCTGGTTCTGACAAACTCAATTATTTCTTTTGAATTTCTTCAAATTAAGAATGGTAAATATTTCCTGCAAGAATCTTGGGGTTTCTTTGTTGTATTATTTTTTTCAGTATTGCAGCGCTGGATTAAATGCTCTCTCTTCAAATTCCAATTATTTATCTACACAGAGTGTGAAGTTTTTCCCAGCTTGGACTCTGTCTGATAAATACTGCTTCTCAGAAACTTAAAAATGTGTCAGAGGGGTTTCTTAGCAGATGAAAGAAAATTCTTTGGAAAATTCCTCGAGGAGCTGGTGCCGGAGCCAGATCTCCAGTGACGAAATGACTTCAGCATGCGCTGTGGGGCTCTTAGGACACACACGAATTATAGAAAGATTATTTTTCCACCCTCCTGTGTCCACTATCATTGATGCTATAATTTTTTGGGGTGAGATGAAGTTAAAGATTCAGCAGCTGGAAGGTCTTGGGAGTAGACAAGTAGATGTTTCTGGCAAGGAGAACATCACAAATAAAGCGCACGGGACACATAAAACGTAAGCTGTGCCCTGAGTGTCAAAGGGACAGAGGAAAACCAGGAAGTCTGGGCAAGTGAGCAAAATGGTCTATGACAATCTGTGCTCTTCTCTGAGAAGAATGGAGAATTAAAAAACTGAAGGGGCAGCACATGTTTCTAAGGGGTCTTTCTGGTAGTTTGAGTGTGAAAGGGCAGAGGTCTGGATCTAGATTGACCAGTGTCTTGGTTACTTTTCTCTCGTTGCTGGGACAAATATCAGACACTCAAAATGAAGGAAGAAAAGGTTTATTTAGTTCAAAGTTTGTGGAGGTTTCAGTCCATACAAAGCTGGCTCCAAGGAAGACTGGCACATGGCAGAGGGCAGCAGTTCATGGTAGCAGAATACAGCAAAACAGCAAGAGCAAAGAGGAAGAGTAGGGCTGGGGAAATAGCTCAGTAGAGTAAGTGCTTGCCTGGCAAGCGCAGGGTCCTGAGTTCAATCCTCAGTACTGCAATAAATAAATAAATAAATTTTAAAAAGGGGACCAATGGCTGCAGAGAGCAAGTCTGTCCCCCTTAAATTGCATTCTGGCTATCTGCCCCAGAATGGGTGTAGAACTCACACCCATAATCCCACAAGCACTCACACCCATAATCCCAGTTGTTCACTAGATAATCACAAAGTTGAGAAATTCACCCCATGATTGCATGAGGCTCTGAGGGGACAACTATACACAAACCATAACAACCAGTGATCATTTTCTGCTGATGGGCAAAAGAAGGCTGAGCTAAACATGAAAATGAATGTAGAGAACAGAGAAGGCGTGGGTGGTTGGCTGGGTACAGAAGGAGGAAGTAACGAATTGTTGCAATGTTGGGAATCTGGTAGGTCCAAGAGTGTAGATGGAAATGCCAGCCATGCACGAGAAGGATCGGGAAAGGAAACAGCTAGGATAAGGTTCCTTAATTCCGTTTACACTGGATATCTGTTTTAATTAGCTCTAATTGAATAGAGTTTGTCTATTTTGTTCATTTTTACATTCATGATGACTATTTTTTGAATCAGGAAAAGAAAGTTGTTAAAATGGTGGTTTGTAGATGAAATAGTTTTGCCTATGAAAGAAAAAAATATTATGAATCTTTACTATGAAACAGTACATTTTTTTAAGAAAAATCTAGGAGAAAATGGAATATATTTGATAAAATATGAGAAAATACCTCAAGTAAAACAAGACCCATTGTGAATCATAGAACCATTTGTTAAAAATATTGCATTATCTATCTCATGGCTCCACAGTACCGCACTTCCTCGATAAATTCATTTATTGAGCAAAGAATTACTGAGCAGCTGCTGTGTGCCAGCCTTGGGTGTAATCACTGAAATTATGATAACAAAAGCCCTGCCTCTTGGAGCGCACATTCTTGTGGGAGGATATGTATATAAATTGAAATAAAACCATGCTGTGTACTATCAGAGCACAGAAAATCAGAGTGAAAAGGCTGGAGGGGTTTTAGGGCAAGAGAGGGTGTGATGTCAACGTCGCAGACTGTCAGGGAGACCTCACTTAATAAAGTGTCAACGTCATGTAGGCGGAAAACTGGTTAGTGGTAAGTCATGTGGATCTAGGAGGGGGAGGGTAAAGAAGCTGATAAGTTCTGAGAACGTGTTTCAGGGACGTGGTAAGGCTTGATGCCCCAGTGTTAGCCTGGGGTCTTAGTTCCTGTTACTTCAAAGCAGCCACCCAGGAGACGTGCAGGTAAGAGGAGGCACCGGCTCGTACTCAGCTTGTTCATGGTGAACAGTAACCATGTGAAAGGATGTTTTGCCCTTTCACGGAGCAAAGAAATAAAATTTAAAGTGAATTTATATCTGGCTCGATAAATTAATAAAACTGCTTATTTACCACATCATGAAATTGTGAGAGATATATATGGAAATTGTTGTATTTTGGAAGGGTTTAGAGCAATAATAAGACCACAGATTATGCAAATTAGTAAAATACATCCCAATGCATCCATTGCAAGTAATACTAGGCAAACATTAAATATGGAAACAATGTAAAACACATACAGTAAAGGCTTTGCATCTTTTCTCTAGTTGCTGAAAGAATCCTCAGTTCATAAGGTAATATGCAATAAGCCCTTTATTTTTAAGCTTTATGTCAACCAAGAGTTGCTCTGTGGTCAAATTCTGATTAGTTGCTTATGGACACAGTAGATTGGCTGAAAGGTGTTTGTCGTGCGTTGCTTTGGTGTGTGTCTTCTTCATTCCTGCTGGCTGAGGTAGGCACTGAGGACAGAGACAACACCAGCTCCCCAGGGCAGGAGAGAAGCGTGACTTGGGTGAGCAGGCCACCAAGTCCTACTGCAGTCCTAGAACTTCTTTGCTTGCACTTTGAAATTTCCGTTATTGGTGTACTGATTCACCACACACCTGACAGTCTCTTTAATCTTATGTGATCATTTTGAGAAAAAATTAAAATGTAGGTCACAAAGCACCTTGTACACCATGTTTGCCAATATACCTGTAAGGTCATATGTGGTAACAAAGAAGACAGCAAGATAGAAATGTGAAAAACAGAACTCACCCTTGGAACTCAAGTTATTTTGATTTATTAAAGTCATATTTTAAACATTTTTAAATAATCTAGGGTTCACAAAAACAGTTCTCATAATTCTTTAAAAAAATAGTAAAATTTAATTTAATGAAATTGAAAAACTCAAAAACCTAGAAATCCAAGTGTGTGTGTACAAACACAAATACAGGAATTCTTAGATGCAGATTGGCAACGTTATTTTAAAATGAGAGTAAATGAAAAATATTCCCTAACAAAGAACTTATCTTCTCAAGATGGTAATCAATAATTGTTATTAGGCCACTTGTTAAAATAACTGCATGAGTACTCAAATGCATTTTTAATTCACAGGGACCATAATATTTCACTGAAATTGTAAAGAATACCCAGTATCGTTATCACACATGGCTATTAGAGCTACAGATCTGGTAAACATAAACATTCACAAAATAAATTAAAGGCTGTAAGTATTGGCCAGAGAGAAAGAAATGTAGAGTTTGCAGAAGGTTGTGCAGGCTGGAGCAGGACATAGGGACAGAAGGAGAGGGTAAGGCAAAGAAGGAAAGGAGAAGGAAAGGGAATCAAGCTCAAATGCACTCTATGCTGCTCAATAAAATTATGTGCCATATACGTGCACTAATAAAATAAAGTAAAAAAACAACGATCCAAATAAAAACTCTCTAGGTCGATGAGTGTTCACCAAAGGTGTTGGATACAGGTTATACACATCTAGGCGTGAAAGGAGGTTGTCATTTCTTTCTCTTCATAGAACTTGCAGCAACACTCAGTTGGCAACTATGGAGAAAAAAATTTTCATTCAAGCAGGAACAAAACACAACATATTTAGTAATATGCTCAGTTGGAGGACTGGGGAGAAAGCCAGTGGAATAAGCGCTTGCCTGGCAAGCACATGGGCCTGGGTTCAATCCCCAGTTCTGGAAAAGAATAGTAATATGCTCAGTTGGAAATTTGAGGAAGTTATTCAAAGAAAAATATAAACTTTCTTTAAAAGTGAAAGTATAAAAAGAAAGTATATATAACAAAGAGAATTCTTAAAACATAGTTCTACATAACCATATACATACATATATATATATATAATTCTAATGCATCCCATTAAAAACTTATTTCAGTGCTGGGGAGAGAGCTTGGTGGTCTAAGCACCTGCCTGGCAAGTACAAGGACTTGAGTTTGATTCCTGGCATCGCGTGCCTTGCCAACCCCGAACCCCCGAGCATGCTGTGCCAGCCACCAAAACTAAGCAAGGTGGCACATGCCTGTAATTCCAGGACTAGGGAGGCTGAGACAGGAGAATCACTAGGAGTCTCAGTTGCCTAGCTAGACCCTGTACCAAATAAATACAATTTTTAAGAAGTCTTATTTCAGTTGTCAGAAAACTTTCAACATTATCCTTAGTTTATCAGAAAATCTAATGATGCTATCAACAAGTTATGTCACTGAGTTTTCTTTTTTAAAATCTTTTCAATTAGTAAGATTTAAAAGTAAATATTTCTCTATTTATTAATAATTATTATATGACAAAAATTTATCTGAAGTTACAAGAGTACACATGAACCTAGCAAGTTAATTTTATGGAGTATATTCCAAGAAAGTAAACTCATTCCTGGACAGAAGTAAAACTGTAAAAATATTCATCAACACATGGGTATAGGAAATGAATACTGAAAACAGCATCTGAAAGTAGGGTAAAGTTGAAATGGTATTACTCTATATGATTGATATATATTTTATAAATTTAAAAGCTATTGAAGATCTGTTTTAATGCCATTAGTAATGATTTGAAAAAAATAAGGAAAGTGCACAGAAATGTGAATATAAAGTAAATTAATTATATGACAATAAGTTGAGATTTTTCACAAAAAGATTTCCAGAAGAGGAAATCAATTATATAAAAACAATTTGAGATTTTAGGAAATAAGTTCTCAAAAAGTTTAGCTAGGAATGATTGTTTCTTCATTAAAAGAAATGGGTTTTGTACTTCAATTTTATATCTAAAATTAGTGAGCATGACTTTCTTTCATGGTAGATGAGAGAATAAATTTTTTAAAGGGTATTGTGCATTAGTTTGGTGATAGTGTGAGAATGACTCTACCTTAGCAGTTGTGAAATGTTACTTGTGGAGAAGTTTAGTATAAAAATATTCCTGATTAAAAAATTGATCTTTTAAAATAATAGATTCATAGAAACCACAATGCCTTCATTTTCCTTGAAAAACTAGGGAAAGTATGCATATGAAGACTATGATAGTACGATATTAATGGACCACATTTCTGCGCCTACAAATTTCTTTCTGTAAGGAATGTGGTCCTGCCAAGGGCAGGGACTGCTGCGCCTTGCTGCTGCAGAGTGGCAGCAACTTCTCAGTTGAGAACATGATATGGATCACCCTCGTCACAAACAGGGGAGCTGCGTCACTGCAGAACTGACTTTTCGTGAGGAGACCAAAATCAAACTGCATGTAGCTCTTCTCGTCTTTGCATTTTGTATAGTCCTCAGAAACAACTATTCTTACACTGAGTGGTTCTTGAAAAAATAAGTGTTTTACCTCAAGGTTTTAAAGCTGGTCACTACTAGCCTAATCATTTCTTATACAAATATTATTAGTTGAGGGCAAATAAACTAAATGATTCACCAGAGGCTCTTCAGAAAAAGGAAATATGACCCTCAGTAATAAACAGTTAGTGTGCTGTCACTGTTCTTTATTTTTACCCAGTCTTTCTGTATAGACTTTGAGCAAGGAGAACCCTATTCAAGCCCTAGATATGTCTACCTGAGAGGCTTCCAGGTGTTTAAATCCCAGGGAAGAGATAGAAATATCGTGTCATGGATACTCTTTCAATTGTAGGCATTTGTGTCAGGATAGTTGGTGTCTCAAATGAACGTTGAACCTGAAATAGTAAAAGAAAGTCCTTTAGAAGATTTCTTTAAAAAGAAAATACAGACTACACTCTCAACAGGGAAAAATACCAAAGCCTATTTAAAGCTGTTGATAGGCTGTGTAAACTAAAGATGCTTTTCGCTTTTCCTTAGGTATGGTACAGACAGGAACTGGAATCCTTAAGTTGAATTCCCTGGTGAACAAGGCTGTGGAAAACACACATTCTTAGAAAAATGAAACTGGCTCTGTGAAATTATTGAACACTTCCTGTTTCAATAATCATGAGATAAAGGATGTAGCATCGTGACAAGCACTTTAGGAAATTTAAAAACGTTTTGCAAATGGTTTTTCAACGTTTTTTAGGATTGGCAAGAAGGAAAACTCCTACCTTTCGAAAAACGTCCTCCAAATGATAACGCCAGCAATATTCTTTTAGGAAGTAAGTGAGTTGAGAAATGAAGAGGGAGCCAGCAGTATCTGTGAGCCAAGAAACATTATCTGAAATAAATACAGGAAAACACCCATGAATGTAGCTCAGTAGACACAGGGAAGGCTGTCTTGAGTCAAGGGCTCCAAGACAGTGTCATCTGATACTTTGGAAACTGAAAGGGCTAAGCTGTGTAGAACTGAGACCTCAGGTTTCCACAGCAGATAAAACTTTCATGGACCCTCAAGTATGGATTCTCTCAGCTTGCTTCATGGACAAGGCCAACGCTACGCCTGGTGGGATCTCATCCAGTGGAAATGACCGCTGAATCCTACCAACGCTCCCTGAGAAGTCTCTGCTCAGCACCTTGGGCTCCTCCTCATCCACACTTGTTTCTATTGCATACAAATCTTTTGACAGTTGATTTCTCCTTACCATTCTAAGGTGTGTACATTTCTATTATTATTGAAAATAAAAGATAACAGTCCTCTAATTGCCATTTATTTACAGATAGCTTCCAACTTCTCCTTCCCTTTTATACTTAAATTTTTCAAATATGTCTATTCTCTCCATCTCCTTTTCCTTCCATTCTGCTCATTTCTGTCTAGTTTCTCCCTCCTTTCCCACATACCAGTTTTACAAAACAAGCTCTTTCCAGAGTCTTCTGTGACATCCAAGTCACTAAATCTCACTGTCATTTATCAAACCTCCCTTTGATTTGAACTGATATTCACACCAAAATCTATTGGCAAATTGCAAAAGAGTCTTTAGCTATTTCTAAAAAATAGGTACTGCCAGTTTTCTGTCCTACTCTCTGAACCTGCTTGATGAGTTCAACTTGACATCTAATCCTTCCACCTCTCACCTTGAGCACCACGGTTCTTCATGTCTCACTCTATGACTTCATTTTATGCTACCCTCAACTCTTAGATGGCTTTATCCACTCTTAATTTATTAAATGTAATCCTCAGTTACCATCTCTCAAAATTCTTTAATGCAGATCTCTTTTCTAAAACACACAACTATTCAACACTCTATTCTTTATTTCACCTTCATAACTGCCACAGCCATGTCAACGCTTTCGCAAGAACCCTGTTCACATGAGTGTGAGTCGTCACCTACCCTCAGTCATCGCTATCATCTCTATTTCCTACCGTATCCACCGAACCACTGTTACACATTAATTGCCTTTTGTTTTAAATAACTCAGCTCATTCTTCACCCATCATTATCACCTCTGCCTGGCAATGCTCCAATAGAACCTAACCTGCTTTTCTCTCTCTACTCTTGCTGCACTGTAATTCATTTGCTCAGGTTTCCCCAGAGAGGTCATCTAAAAATGAAAATGATTTTCTGGTATCGTTGCTTAAATCCCACCAAAAGTTTCTGTTGTTGTTATGACAAAGGTCATATAATGCCTCTAATTGCCTGGCTCTGAGCTCGCCTGGTGCTCCTGCTCTTCTTGCACCCTGCACCTCTCCTCCAAGGTCTTTGACTTCTCCAGTCCCCTGTGCAAACTGTTTTTCTGCTTGGGATGTTCATTTTGCCATTAATGTGGTTGCCTTTTTATCTTTTAAATGGGAGCAGCAATGTTTCTTGAAAGCACTCATCACAGTTGACAGCCATTGTTCATTTCTGTTTTGGTGTATTTGTGTTTTTCCTCCAATTCATTTCTGTCTCCCTAGCCCTGTTGTAAACTCCATCAGCGTCAGCAGCCCTATCTGTTTTAATTGTGTAGCATGCCCTTTGCATATCTGCCCTTTTCCCAGCACATGATTATGCATTCAGAAAGAGAAAGCAAGGATTTTGCATACTGGACTTTAATTTGTCAATGAAATCAGCTACTTTTTTGAGCATATATATCAGGCCTCATATGACTGTTTAACTTAGCTTTCCAGCTAAAATTATAGGACTGTTTCTTTACCTAAAATCTATTGAAAGTACAGTATAGAAAACAAATAGAAGTTGGACAGTTCTCTATGTAGGTATATTACTCATCCATATGATTGGGTGGGCCCTTTTCACATGGCCCTTTACCTGCTCCACAGGGTTGCCCAGCGTCCAGTAATTCCTACCCATTCACATGTAGTGATGCCCAACCTGAGCAATGCAATGAAGATTTTTAAAAAGGCAGAGTCTCAAAACCTACTCTAGACATACTGAATCAAAATCTGCATTTAAGGGACATCCTACATTGATTATCAAAGTGTGCAGGAACAAACTCAGACATTTAGAATTATGAAATGTGTGCATTTGTGGGTTTTTAAAAATTGCTTGACCTAAATTTTTACTAGAATAATAGTGTACATGATTGCTAACCATGTGTGTAAGTGTGTGTGTGTTTTTGTGTGTGTGTGTGTGTTCTGCTAGGTAGACCAAGGACAAGCAAGATTATTCTGTCTCTATGTTCTACTTCTACCTTCTACTATGACTTTCCTGCCAAAAGAAGATTGGCTTTCGCTCACAGGGTCTGTTAACCCAAATGCAGGCATGATACTGTTCAGTAATTGCCCCAGAGGAGATTCGGACAACAATCCCAGGGCCAGGAGTATGTGAGGAGGAACAGGCCTCATACTCTCACTAGTTAGGTTGTGAAATTGCTCAGAGGTCATTGAGTGAGTCAAACCACATGAAAATGGTGCATTTCAGAGCCATTTCTGTATTTGAAGAACAAATCAGAAAAAAGCATCCTCTACTTTTGTGTAGTGAAACTCTTTTAAATCTAGAGGCTCACTGGAATCCTACTTACATTGAAATTTTCCTTCCAAATCAAGTTTTAGGGCTCTCAACATTTTAAATCTCTCCTCCAAATAGAATCTCCAATTAAGTAGAGTATAAATGTTCGATAATAAAACACAGTTATAGCCAAGCATGCCACATAGAAACCAGTGGGAAGCTTATCGTCTCCTCTTTGCAATCACTTACGTGGAGTGGAAGATTTGAAAGCGATGAAATCCTTTTCGACGTGGGTCATCATGACGGCATCACTCCGTGCACTATGTGGGTAATACAGTGAGGGATGAGCGCGGATGTCTGCTCTGGCTTTTCTCCTTTCAGCGGTCACCCAGGCAACCCCATCACCATCTGATTAAAACATGGCATGCAATGAAGTATGAGATGCTATGTGACTTTGACAGCCACGCAGTCTAATTCTTTTGTCATTGTGCCCTGATTCAGTACATTTTGTCAAGTATATTACTATTAGAAATAGTACCTCACTGATTTGGGATAATCCTAGTCCCAGATGATTGGGAAACTTCCCATATTTTAGGCTACTTACTGTTTATTAACCTTTCTGAGCTGGATATAAGAGGAATATTAATTTTGGCTTCCCTCACCCATCCCTGGCAAAATGAAACTGAGAAACTAAGGGTCTTGGAGAATCACACGGTCGCACCCTGGGGTCGGAACACAGCCTCACCGCCTCTGCAGGCCTGCGTGATGATGATCTTGGGCTTGTTTATCAGATGCCTGCAATTATTGTTGTTGAAAATTGCAAAGACGGTATCATCACAAAGAACGTCTCGCTCCCTGTCGCTGTGCCGTGTCCCACAGATCCCATCCAGGATGCCGTGGGACATGAACACCAGGAACGTGCTGTCTGATGACCGGTGCTCTTCGAGGTGGGCAAACTCCCTCAGCTCTGTTTCCATTTCCTGAAAAGGCTCAGCATCAATAGGAGGAACTTTCTGTATATACTTTATATATGCACAGCATTCACAAAAGTGAGTAAGAATTAAAGAATCATGTGACTTTTTGAATGAATGGAATTTTAAGAGCAATAGTATTCTGGCATGAATTCAGGCAACTGAGGCATGTAGAATATAAAATGAGTAGGGTTTTTATGTAGCATCTAGTTCAGTGTTTCCTTTTCTGAGGAAACTGGGAGGTAGATGTTTAATCCTTAAGTTCTTGCTTTCCATTTAGTTGTGTTATTCCTTTCACTTTTTATTTCTTCTTTTGAGTTCTTACACTAGGGAGACTATACAATGACGCAGAGTGTGCCTAAGGAGAGCCACATGGAGAGAAAATATTCTCTCAGGCTTTCATAGAGAGCAAATTGGTCAAGCAATGACCGTGACTCATCCAAAAATAGCTGACACTGACAGAGGATCTACAAACTGAGTACAGGGTTTCATGGTAAATCCTGAGGGGATTTGACTGACCTTGTCAGACACAAAAGTTACATTTCTTGTTGTAGAGGTCTTGCTTTATCTTGGTCTTAACCATCCAGCAGAAAAGTATAAATATGAGGTATAAAAAGTAAAGCCATATAAATATGCTGAGCTATAAAAGGCTCAAGTCAACAACTTCTGACATTGCCAGTCATGTGGATAACCCACTACTATTATAGACTACTGGACTATGTTGGATTATTTTGCTGAATTCATGCATCCACAATATATGAATGGCAATGAAATACCCATCTCTGACAAAAGTTAACAAAAAAAGGGGGATATAAATGAAGGACCATTTTGTAGTGAAAAAATGTATGTGTGTGTGTGTGTGTGTGTGTGTGTGTGTGTATAATCTGTCTGTATATACAAAATAGTTAGCAGAAGTATACAGCTACTTTCTCTTAATTCAATGAGAGGAAAGTTTTGAAATAACAGTGTTTAGACAAGAAATCATGTCTGTATCTTGTACTATGAGTAACTACTACAAAGACAACAATATGCAATGTATAATTATTGTAACTGTCTTACTAATCTGTTTCAAAACTGTCTCATAGCTATTTCTCAATAAAATTAAGAAAATAAAATAAAAAAACTGGGAGGTAGAATACAGTGAGGGCCAATTGAGATGGTGTGTCTTTCATTCCATCAGTTTGTTCTCATCTGAATTCCAATGGGTTTCCTGGAGTTCTTTATTAAGGGTAGAAAAGAGAGACAGAGATTTTTCCATTGACAAAAATTGAAAGCACTACATTTTTCATCATGGGGTAGCTGAAATTTAGGCATAAAATGATTTATCTAAATTCTCCCAGGGTACTTGTTACAGAATCAGTATCTCAACTACTTAAATCTCTTCACAATTAGACACATGGATTTGACATTATTATGACTCTCAGATGCACTTAGTAGATATCAGAGAGCTTTGGGGCCCAGAACTTGTGTCTTACTCAGACCTTCAACTTAAAGACACCTCCCAGAGGAAGAATTCTGAAAGACTCAACATCTTTAGTGAAATATTCATCTATGGAAAATCTCTAAATATTTGCTATGAGATGGTGCACTGAAGAAGACTTGGACCCAGCAGCTCCTGTTCTGGAACAAATGTAATTCCTGTGCTGTCAAATGTTCTGTTCTTGCTGCTGCCCAGGAAAAGGTTGAAAACTGTTTAAGAAGGAAGGAAAGTTACTCTACTCTCTCGGACTGTTACCTGAGCTGTTAGGTTCTCTTTTACAACCACTGAGTATCCAAGGTCGTTAAGCAGGTCTTGCATCCTCAAAAGGTCTACCTCAGCACCATCTCGATTAGAAAGATAGTCAAACTTCGTGTTGCAGATGATGAGGGCCAGTCGTGTTCGGCCCTCTTTCTCCATTATTGGGTATATCTGTAATTAGAAGATGCAGAATGACTTGAGTCAGACCCTTCCATTCTGCCACCAAAGTTCAAACAAAACAAACCAGTATGATTATAAAGTAGGTGAGAGGAAGCTTAGTAATGCAAAATATCCACCTGCAAAGAAAGACAAAGAGTCAAAGTAAAAATACATGCCAAGTCCAAATATTCACTCCTTGTAAGAACTTGGTTTGGGTTAGGTAGCAGAGAGCAGCGCAAAGCGTGTTCTAGCATGAGATAAAAGAAATAGGGAACCTAATGGGAAGACCACTTTAAGACAAAATCATTGTTGCAACAATTAAAGCATTCATTGCCTCCCCAGTGTCTTGCTTGAATCCACAACATTCTGTCTCCCTGCTCCAAAGCACATTACCTTATTTGCCTCTGCAGTCTTCAGCTGTTGGAAATGACTGTAAGGGCAAAGCTTCAATCTTTTCTCAGGCTGGACACCATGGATTTCACAAAGACCTAAAAGAGAAACAGCAAACAGGGGAAGCAACTCATTAGTGAATACACAAGGCCTTGCCATCTGCCATGTCTCCTCTCACTCCTCAGGAATGTTGACCACAATTCCACTTAAAAACATAAGGCAATTAGAAAATTGTATCTTGTTGAACTAAAACAAATATCTTAAGAACTCCCCTCACCCTCTTTTCTTTTCTTCTTATCACTGACCCCACTATAAATTCCTGTTTATCTGGTGGCCATAACACTAATTTTTCAAGTCCAACACCTTAGAGTCACCTCTACAGTCTAAAATTTGAAAGGAAGCTTAATATTCATGTAGCTCAATCAAATAACTACTCAAACATTTGAAATCCACCTATTTTTTTTCATTTTTTAAAGATAATGAAAATAATGCAAACATTAGAAGCAATACAGAATTTCACTAAACAAGATCATAGGAATTTATCAATGGTTGCTATGCTGCACATTGTTGTCTTCAAATTAATTATTCAGATTACAAGGTATAAGCACATAAAATTAGTCGAAAAATTTAAAGGAAGAAAAAAATATTTAAGCATTAACCATGCTTTTGAATGGTAGGAATCAGTAACAAAATTGCTCCTGCTACAGTGTGTGTGTGTGTGGTGTGTGTGTGCGTGTGTGCATGTGTGTGTGTGTGTGGTGTGTGTGTGCGTGTGCGTGTGTGTGTGTGTGTGGTGTGTGTGTGTGCGCGTGCGTGTGTGTGTACTTTTTCCCCTTCCTTCTTTCTTTTCTCCTTTCCCTCATGGATGCAATGAGAGACCACAGTCACAACTGGAGTAGCTCACACCCACATGTGCAAGCAGTGTATTGTGTCCCTAATGTAAGAACTGGAAAGAATAAATAAAATCTGAAAATTATGATAGATACTGTGAAAGGGAAAGAAACTATTCAAAGGGAAGGAACAGGTGAGATGAGGGAAAGGAGAAAAGAACTCCTTTTATAATATCTCTGCTTTCTGACTACCATTCTGACCTCCTTTTGCAATGTTCCTTGACAGGTAACTTACACTATTCTATGCTATGATTTACATTTTTTGCTTATTATAACATGTACTGGTATACACTAATCACAATGTGGCCATTCAGAAAACATCTAACTCCTTCCCCAGTGACAGCTCAACAATACTTTCATGGCCTCAGTAGGTCTTTCTTTTAATGTTTCTATTCTTAAATGTGAATGTCCCATAAAGTAGTGTTCTTGTTGCATTTCCATTGTGATTGGTTGCTATAAAGCAATTAAGACAGGAAGATGGCTTTCATTTATGTATTCCCAGTATGTAGAATAATTATTTGGGAAAACTAAAAGCTTATAACCCTTTATTAAGGAATAGATATCTTAAATACTTGAAAATATCTCTGATTTGTTATTCCTTTTTCTTTAGGGCATGAAACCTTCTGGTCCTTATATTTTTTCATACAAATTATTTTATCTTAGTAATAAAAAATCTGTCAACCTTCACTGCTTTTAGTTTTTCCTTCTGTGCAACCCACTCTGGCTGTTATCCTCATCACTTAAACTAAATACTTCTTATGAATGCTACCACTCTCCATTTGTTACCTATTAATCATTTTACATGGGAAACCATGTAACCTTTCTTTAGGACTGTTCTTTTTTTTTTTTTTTTTTGCAGAACCAGGGATTGAACTCAGGCCCTCGCACTAGCCAGGGAAGGGCTTATTCTACTGAGCTATCTGCCCAGCCCTTCAACAGTGCTCTTTAGGCTTCCGTAGCACTGCATTTTTCAGTCATGCTTCCTAAATCTGTGTTCCTTGGTGCTTCTTTCCTTTTGCCATAACTCCAAAATTTTCATTATCATATTTTGAGCTCTCAAAAGTAATTAGCAATTTTTAAATATCTCAATGAAATTTTTTTATATAATCTTTCTAATATAGTCTATCCATTGTTTCCCACTGAGGTGGCTTCTTCTGGTCTTATAATTTAAAATATCCTCTGCACCCTGATGGTCCCAATGTTCATTCTCCACCCTGATTTCTCCATGAGCTCTGCAGTTGAACATCCAGCCAGCTATTCACTCTCTTGGAGATAACGCCTGTTTCAACTTCCCATGTACAAAGCAAGACACTTGATTTTTACCTTCTTTAAACATCTGTCTTTCCTGAGCATCACAAGTTTCCTCTCACTCTGTAGGTTCTACCAGTCATTCAGCTGGCAAACCAAAATAAGAATTTGACTCTTTCTTCTCTTATTTTCTACTTAAACTATTAGTAAATTAAATGCTGTCATGATCTTTACAGACCTCAGTCTAAATCCTGTTATCTCTTAAAATTTATTTCAACTAATACATAAAAGCATAAAAGTTATGCATACTTGTTGGGTAATATGGGCTGTTTTGACAAATGAATGCATTGTGTAATGCTTAAATATAAATTTAAAAAAACCTTCTAAGATTTTCTATTGGCAATAACGCCTAGATCCCTCTCCACTGGCAAAGTGGCTTATGCAGAATGCCTCAGATCTATTCTGTAGTTCTACCAATTAAGCTTTCCCTAATCTCCTAGCTTACATCTAGATTGGCTTTTCCTTTTAACCTCTTAAATATAACCTTAGTCATCTCCTAGACTCCTTCCCCTTCCCATTTACTTAGTCTGACACAACTGCCTCCTCATCACCCAGGTAGATGACAAATGACCACCTGTACCTCTTCTCTTCCCTTGATCTTACCTACTTCTCCACCCTCAAACACACTGTCCCTGCCATATCTAATCCTTTTATCTCTTGTATATATTCTGAATATACACTCTATTTTACACATTTATTATGTATCTACCCTTAATGTTTAGAAACAGTACCAGCAACATCTTGATTTGTCTAACCTACTGCCATGTACATCTAGCAATGAGAATAGCAATTCAGTTTTTCAACTACTATGCACGGAATTCATGCACATATGAGAATTCTCATGATTCTCCTTCATTTCTTCACCTTCACATTTCTTTCTTGGTTTCTGAGAAATGAAGAGCAGGAACTAAGTGGTAATCATATTCTGGGGGAAGACAGAAGTGAGAGCAACTTAGATTGTCTGAAGCATAATTTGACATCAAAGTGGCTCTTCACCATCTTGAAGAGCCCTGCACAGCTGCTTTGCCCTAACTGATGCCTGGGGCTTCCCATAGAGCTCAGGGTTTGCTAGGGGTTACCTGTTGGAGAGATGGCCAGTTCCTCCACTGACACAGCAATTTCTTCATCACTATTTTCTTTACTTTCCCCTTTAGATGCTGCAATAGAAATGAACAAAATGCTAAGGATCAGTGCTATGCAGTGCTCCGAATGTCATTTCTAAGACACAAATTCACCAAAAGCATAGGTTGCCTAGGTCTTTATTAAAAGACGTTCTCATGAGAATTAGGGTTAGAAGGATTTCACTTGTGACGTGGAGTTTGGAGGCAATTACCTGTCAAAGTGGCTGCTGAGGCACATTGTTCAGACTCTTCATCTTTTTCAGGAAGAGAATCTGAAATAATATGAGAAACAGAGTTGTGGGTTTTTTGTTTTGTTTTTTTTTTTTGTTTTTGTTTTTTGTTTTTTTTCAGAATCAGGGATTGAACTCAGGCCCTTGGGCTTGCCAGGGAAGCGCTTATTCCACTGAGTCATCTCCCTGCCCCCATAGAAAGACTTTTTTTTTTTTTTTTTTTTTTTTGTGCAACTGGGGATTGAACTTGGGTCCCTGTGCTTGCCAGGGAAGCGCTTATTCCACTCAGCTATCTCCCCGGCCTGAAAAACAGAGTTCTAAGCAGAACTAGATTTCTAGAACCTGTACACTTCAAACTCTCCCCCTTGCTCTGGTATGTAAATGAACACGTGTGGCACAAGACCGCTCTATGAAGCATGAGATTTGGCCAATTTTCCAGCTCCATCTATGTTTCAGAGGATGCTGACCTCTGTGCCCAATTAAAAAGTAGACAGAGATCCTATGAAACAAAGAAATTATTCAGCTTCCTGCTTATATAACCAAAAGACTAATAAAAGTCTTACTCAGTGCTTGCTCATGATAGCATTTACTACTTTCTGATAAGATGTACAGATATATAGAAAAGTTAGATAACCTTTTTCATCTCTTTTTTGTTTTTTTAGTACAGGGTCTACAGAGTCTTACTAGATAGATCAGACTTGTAGTGACCTGTCTGTGTTCAGCCTCCCAAGAACTAGGATTACAGGCATATGCTACCTTGCCCAGTCTTAATCCCTGTCTCAGCATGCCTCAGGGGAGGGGCAGGCATGGGACGCCCAGGATGGAACCTGGCCTCCATTTCTGCCTAATCAGGTGCTTTAGTCCACTGAATTATTTGTCTGTCTCTAGGAAAGTTAGATAATCTTTGAACAGCAACAAAAATCCTTCTATAGCAATGTTCCAAAAATCTAGAATATACTTATTTCATGTTCTACTCTAGATTTGGGTTAGGGAACTATAACCTGGAAGCCAAAATAAATTATAAAGTTTTGTTGAAATTTATCAACATTTAGAAACACTTTTTTGATGCTCTCATCCAGCTGTAGCAGATCTGGGTCATGCAAGGGACTATTATCCACAAAGCTTAAAATACTTACTATTTTGGGGTAAAGTGTATGCCACCTACACTGAAAAGTGAAAGTTGAGAAGCAAACAGTAACTGTTCAATTCTGTGCCTTCAATTGAATAGAAATCTGGATTTAGGGGCTGGTGAGATGGCTCAGTGGAATAAGTGCTTCCCTGGCAAGTGCAAGGGCCTGAGTTCAATCCCTGGTCCAAAAAAAAAAAAAAAAGAAAAAAGAAATCTGGATTTATAGAAGTTTCTCTTTGAACCACAACACAGAAGGCAGTAGATTTTTCTCCACTGAAGATTCTATATATCTCTGAACAATGGAAACTTTCTCTCTTATATAGTCAGAGAATCTCAGACTCCTAAGAGCTATCTCAGAATTCTAAATAGCCATTCATTCACTTTGTGAATATTTTCTGAGTGCCTATCATGGGTCAAATGCCACTAATGATGTGTTTAGAATCTGTGCATGAAAAAAATTCAAGCAAAGATCCTGTATTTTGGAGCTTATTTTTAGAAGAGGAAGATAATTATATAATGAATAAATTATATAGTATAATTAAGTAGACAGTTGTTAAAGTAAAAGGAAAATGTGCAACAGTATAAAAGTTAATTGGGATAGATTGGGGTAGATTGAGCCATCAAATAGAATAGATAATGATGCAAAACATTCCTTTGGATAGGGACAGTGTATTCTGTACTTGTAAGTGGAAGAATAAAATAGCTCACAGAAACAGCAGAGAATGAAGGGGCTATTAGGCCTGGACGGAAGCTGCTTACGTGATCTGCGCCATCTCCTGGAGTGGGAGTGGTGGTCAGCAATAAATTTGCGAGTCTTATATTCAGCATGCTTCACCTTTTTCTTTATTTTGTGCATTTTCTTCTTGGTTATACAGTTTTTCTGAAGTCATAAAAAGCTCCATCCACTAGGTTCTTGACAGCAGACTCTCTAGTCTCTCATGGTTCTTCATCAAGTGGCTCCTTAGCTGTGAGAGATGAGTATTCGGTAGGAAGAAAACCTTAGACATTTGATTCTAGGCCACTGGTTCTCACATTTTAATGTGAATGACGTTATATAACGCATAGGTACACGTTCTCTATGATGAAGGTGAGCATGAGGTATATCTGAAGTGCACTGATAAAATGTGATTGAAAAAGTAAAGTTAAAAAAAAAAAAAGAATTGGGGCTGGGGAGATAGCTCAGTGGTCTAAGAACCTGCCTGGAAAGTACAAAGACCTGGGTTTGATCCCCTGTACCACACAGTGCGCCAGCCCCAGAATCCTGGGCGCACTGTGCAGGCTGCTGAAACCAGGTATGGTGGGGCGTGCCTATGATCCCAGCACCAGGGAGACTGAGACAGGAAGATCACTACAAGTCTGAGCTGCACTGTGAGAACCTGTACCAAATAAATAAATAATTTTTAAAAATTAAAAAGAAAATAAAATCATTTAGAAGGTTCGACCACATTTCCCAAATTCTTTTTAAACAGACTTATTTATTTATTTATTTATTTATTTATTTTATTTTGCTGGCTCAGCCTGTCCTCGGGGTGAGGCTGGTGGGGTATGTGGTGCCAGGGATCAAACCACAGTCCCTTGTACCTGCCTAAGCTTGCCTAAGCAAGCACTTTAGACCACTGAGCTAGCTTATTGACCCCCACATTTCCCCAAATTCTGATTTGAAAGATTTGGATAAATCCTGTGAATTTTTCAGTTTTAGCAGTTTCCCAGGTGAAGCCAAAGCTTCAAGTCCAAAAAGCACACTTGTGATGACAACACTGAACTCCTTCTCTTGTTCAGCCCTCTATTAATGATAGAAGGGAATGGAACTCTGAACCTGAAAGATACTTGGGACAAGTTCATCTTCTTTAAAATCAGAAAATGAACTTTAGGAACAATGGAGATTAAGAACAGAATATATTTACTGGGGGAAAGAAAGCTCCTATCAATGAAGACAGACAGGAGGCCCAAAAGGGTTGCCCTGTAAGCCGTCTCTCCCAAAGATATTTATAGAATAAAACTCTGAGGTGGAAAAGATGGGAACTCCCTTAGGTGGGACAAAACTATGGTCACCCAATAAGATCAGAAGTACAGTTGCTCAGGTGAAATTGATTAAATACAGAACCAAATGGGGAAGCCAGTCACACAACAACCAGACATAACGACAGAATATGGGCTTTTCCTGTAAGGATTTGGGTCACTGACTCTCTCAGGCTTCCTATTTAGAATATCAATTCCTGATGCCAACCTCTAGGGAAGTATGAGAAAATGGTAGCATTTCTCTACTATTTTGTCCTGAGGTCCAGCCCACAGCAGGCCTGTGTCTCTCCCAAAGCTTCATTCATCCCGTCTTCCACAATGTACACTTGAGCACTTAGCTCTGCCTCACTGCCTACAATATTTGTATCTAATTTAGCTGCCTACAAAAATCTCAAGAAAAAAGAGTAAAGAAAGGCAGATATATAATTTTCTAGGGATGGGCATGCGGGATTGATATTCTAAACAGGTGTCAATCATCTTGAATGATCCAGAGTCACTGACCCAATCCCAACAGGAAGAACCCTGTCCCATACTCATGTCCACTTGCTACATGACTGGCTTCTCCACTCGGTCCTGGATTTAACCATTACCCCAGCAATGGTGCTTGTAATCTTGTTGGTTGACTGTAGTTTTGTCCCACCTCATTCCCACCTAAGAGAGTTCCCATCTTTTCCTCCTTAGACCTGCCTCACTGCATGGTTTTACTCTATAAAAAATCCTTGGAAGAGATAGCTTCCCAGGGTAACCTGTTCAGGCTCCCATTCTGTCCCTCTATCAGAAAAAAGCTTTCTTTTTCCAGTAAACACATTTTGCTCTTAACCTCTGTTTGTTTCTAAATTTAATTCTTCAGTTTTATAGATAACGAACTCATCCCAGGTATCTTTTGGGTTGGTAGTTTCATTCCCCTACACCAAGATCACAAAGCAACTTACAGGTAGCTTATGCTTGCTCTACTTTCTTTTTTTGTTCAGCATAGTAACTAATTTAAGAAGACATATTCAGTACGTGTAGCCATAAAGCATAAGCACATCATATCTATAAACTAATACGTCTTTTCTGTTGCTGTGGCTGACAGTCCTGTGCTCAGTGATTAAAAACATTAACTTATTTACTTGGTACTGAAAATAGAAGTTTGTACAGACAGCAGAAATAAGGCAAAAATGTAAATTTCTTTGTTCAGCTATACGACTTCTCATTCTGAGAATTTCAGGACAGTATGAGTCAGAAGACAAGCAGCACAGCACAGAAAAACATAAGGAATTCACATCCGGGTAGTTTACATTGACTGTTCTTTTAAGAATCTACAAAGTGCTAACCAAAATACTTGGTTCACAAAGTTGCCGATGTGCCCCAAAGCTCGATACTCCTTTTGTCCCCAGTCCCCAGCCACAGTCCCATGTGGCAGTTCTCTCTCCCTACCTTCTTCTTCTGTCTCGGAGACAAGAAGTGGAACTCCCTCAAAAAAGTCACAGGCAGAGAATAAGTAAAGGCACTCACCTGCTAACGCTGTCCTCTCACTCTGGGCAGGAAAATCAATGAAATCGCTGTCCACTCATTCTGGGCAGGAAAATCAGTGAAACTGAAAGCACTCGAAAACCTGCTTCCTTTCCTGTCAGCCAGTAGCGTATTGGTGCAGACTGTGTGGGAAATTCCAGCTTCTCACAATCTCGGTCTATTTTTCAGGATAGAATTGGGCCTCATTTCTGATGTGTAACTTCCTGGTTGATACAGGCAAGTTCATGCATACACAAGTGCTGTGTCCAGTATTCAGTCTGTCCTCAGCACTGGTAATAAATCTGACTTAGTATTTGTCTCAGACCCACCCTGAACTTTGCTATGGCTCAGAGCCTCATTCCATAGATGCCTCCATTAGCTGGGAAGCATAGGTTTTCTTTCTTTCTTTCTTTCTTTCTTTTTTTTTCTCATTTTTTAAATTAATTTTATTGAGAAACAAATAGCAATGAGAAAGTTTCAAAACAGGTTAGAAAGACAGTTACAATAATTAATACATTGCATATTGTTGTATTCATAGTAGTCATAGTACAAGATGCAGACATGATATCCTGTCCAAACACTATTAGTACAAATCTTTCTATTCATTGAATTAAAAGAAAGGAGCTCTCTATCTATCCTAACTAGTCTGTATATATAGACACAAAATGGTCCTTCATTTGTACCCCCTTTTTCTTGTTTAGCTTTGCCAGAGATGGGTACTCCTTTGCCATTTAAATATTGTAGGTGCATGAATTCAGCAAAATAATCCAATATAGTCTAGTAGTCCATAATACCTGTCATTTCTATGGGTCTTGGTTATTTACTAGATTCACATGTGTAGTTTTCTGTTAACTGTGCAAGAATATCTTCTACCTAAACAAAGTATTAATGTGTGGTTGCCATTAAAATGAAATTATGGCAAAGCTTATAGAGTACAGGAGGGTCACTTATTTTCTTTAATTTCACAGTACTCAGTAGCCACAATTACATGCTTAGTTGGTATCTGTGATTTTTTTTCTAGTCTATTTTGAAACACTTAATGTACTACTAATTTAATTGATGAATCAAATCAGTGACTTCCTGCCATCTGTGCCCTTTCCCTTTAAATTTAAACTGGCCTCATGACTTGGTTTTGGCCAATGAGCTGCCTCATAAAATGTCTAATTTTCCCTCTTGGTTACGGGAAACTCTGTGCAAACAAACCTTGCCCCATTGGCTGGAGGATCATAGCTGTCTCAGGGACATGAGTCCTGCTGTCCCAGCCAAGCGGTCCTAGACCAGGCCCCAGTCTGCTGCTTCCAAATATGAGCAACTTCTGGTCCAAATGTCACCTGCAGGAGCAAAGGTAATCCCAGGAGGAAGAAGAAAACCACCAGCCGCTGTCTTGTGAACAATACTAAGTGCTTACTGGTGCCAGGTGAGCCCATTCCTGGGCTGTTTGGATAACTGCTCAGCAATAGATAACTGAAAGGCACATATTTATTTACAGCTTTTGTGTTAATACCATTACCATAAATCTTATTACAGAAACTACAAATTTCTTTTAACTTTACAATGTGTGACAAACACTTTGAAAAGTCAACATATTAAGGAATCTGATACAGGTCTACTTCACTTCACAAACCTAATTTATTCTACTATTTTGGAAAAGATGGTCATATTTATATTTGTGCGAGAAAAACAGTTGTGGTCATGTTTGTCACCCAATGCAGAGCTTGCAAACAAAAACCAAAATCTTGCCAGATGCTTCTATTTGGGAACCAAATTGTTTGAAAATAAAAGCATTTGTGCATATTATGCATATCCATATATTATATAATATAGAGACATTATAAAGTTTATAATGAAGTTATAAAATATTGCATATCATATATATCTTTTTATACTTTATAATATAAACCACTTAATTATATTATTTAATATGTAATATTAAAACATGTATGTGATATATAAAGGTAAGCTAATTGTGGAACACATTTATTACCCACGCACCCACTGTTGGACATAATACTCGGGTTTTTTCACGTTTTAGCTACTGGGAATGCTGTTGCTTTCTTCTTGGCATGCACTCAGACGGGTAACTACTGAGATATACAGTGAATCTATTTTAAGTTTTTTAGGAACTACCGTATAATGGGTCACCGTTTCTCCACTACCATCCACAACACACAAAGGTTCTAATTACCCTGTGTGTTTGCTAACACTTGGTGTTTCCTTTTCCTATGACAGTAACCCCGTTGTGTGTGAGGTAATAAATGATTATGGTTCTCGGCAGCGTTATTTTTCACCCTCTTGCTAGGGTGAGTCAGAACTCGTTTTACTTCCTCATTGAAATCAGATTTATATGAGATGAAAGCTAGAAAATCCAGGTGGCCTTTCCGATTTCATTCCCACTTATCCACCATATTAATTAAACTTATATTCTCTGTTAAAGAACCCCCAGAGACACAGTTCATTTGTCTTCCTTTTCATTGAGTTAAAAAGATCAAGCACCTGGGCTGTCCTAGCAGAGTTGCCTCTGCCTGAATTTGATAAACGAACGCCAGGCTGCCCGGGGCTTCTGCAAGAAACAAAGCAGAAGGTGAGCGTGGGCCCGCCGTGGGCCTGAATCTCATCGCTGACCAAGTTTCTATGTGCTCGCCCTTCTCCTGCTTCACTGTGCAACTCCTCGGTCTGCTCAAGAAACGTTACTCCAAGCGACCCAATGAAATCTGAATTATGAGGCATGATTGAATTGTGTGCTGAATACTTAAATTTTTAATATGTATTATGGCAGGCAGTTTGCTGCTGCTTTCCTTCCAAATACGCCCTCTTCTCACACACACCTGCCTCATCCTCGCCCTTCCGGGAGCAGCTGGCTCAGTCACTTTCAGGAATGTTTTCGCTGGTGCTGTCATGGCTGCACCCACGTCCTGAGTCCATTCAGGATGCTTCCTTTCCAGGGTCACTTTGACTTCGGGGAAGAGCTAGAGAGCTTCAGGGCTAGGTCTGGTGAAGAAGGTGGGTGAGAATGCGCCTTGCAGCTTTCAAAAACTGGGCTTCCTATTGGACTTCGATGGGTGGCCCGGTTCACTGAGTGTTGATCCCATCAACGATGACTTCCAGGACGGCAGGAAGTGCCAAGAACAGTCGGGGGTGGGGGGGAGGGTTCAATGCGAAGGCAACTATTTAAGGCCAGTATGTCTTTTACTGTAATAAGCTTCACTTACACATTGTTCGTACATGTTGAATATCAGTTCTCTGTTCAAAAGGACATTTTTTGAACATTTCCTTTCTCACTCCAAGATAAAAGTATTTTTAAATTTTTTGTTGTATTATCTTCAGAGTCTGTGAGGTCATAGTCCTCCTCACCTCTCCAACCTGTCTCTGACCCTTTCCCCTCCCGTTCTGCTCTAGAACCTCTTTCTCCATTCAGTTCTGTACAGGTAGTTAGCGCATCGTAGCCCCAGGCCACTTGTCCTTGCTGTGCCACACTTCAAGAGAAACTTGAGGTTCCCACCTCATCCCTTCTACTCCTTGTTCTGATTTTATTTCTAAGATGCTTTCCTAAAACAACGGATCTGTATCCCAACAGCATGCTTTATGTCCTGTTTTTAATCCTTTGTTTTTCTACTTAAATGATACCATTTTCATTCAACTACTACAGATTTATGTGATTGTGTACTTGGAGTACATCCCCATTTATTAAAGGTTTTTATACAGTAAATATCCATTGACTTTGTTCCCGGGTATCTTTTCAGCATCTAGAAAAGAGCCTGGGATATATTAAGTGTGAGTGACTATTTTAAAAATTCCATGCACATGTGTGGCCTTGATTGTGAGTTAGGTGACAAGGCCTGTTCTGTTGAAGCTGCCTCACAATGATATGAGTGCAGCGTCAGAACACAAGGACAGGAGACGACACTAGTAAGTGCTTAGTGACGGTGTGGAAATACAGATTAAAATGAAATTCAAATTGCGTTTCAGAGGAGATTTACAATCTGACATGGTATGATACAAGGCAGTTGTAAATAAAACGATCATTGGGTCTAAATTTGATTGAGTCACTCTAAAATGGAAAAAAGGCTTGCTAGATAACTGGGATTATCCCATCTAATACAAGGGAAATAATACAAAATCAGCAGGAGAAAAGAACTTCCCTAAGTTCAGACAGTGAACATGCAGCAAAAGAAAACTGGCCTCTCAGCTCCATGCTGGTCTACAGCTTAGGTAATGATAACTTTCACAAAATAATAGAAAACTCCAACCACATCAACGTTTCAGTTATAGCGTGTAACTAAAGCATAGAGATTTACTACAGTGTGGCATAGTGCGAATAGCTAGCAATACTTTATTATATGCTGAAAAATGTTCTAAGAGGGTAGATTGTATGTTATGAGTTACACACACACACACACACACACACACACACAAATACAAATTGAAAAACCGAGTTTTGTTAGAGAGCAATAGATCTATGGCATAGATTGTGGTAATGGTTTCTGCAGAGCAGAAATTGGAACAAGCTGGCAGAGGTTGAAGTAAAGTGACACCTTGACGGAACTCCAAGATTCTTGCACTTGCCTACACTGTGGCTAACGCTCACTCACCGGGCTACAAAAGGATTGAGAGACAACTGGAATTATCCCATTGTACCGAGGGAAAGACTGGGAGCTCAGCAGGATAAAAGAACTTCCCCAAGTTCAGACAGTGAGCCAGCAACAAAACCTGACCTCTCTGCCCCAGGCTGATCTACAGTTCAGGCTGTGCTTTCACAACATAATAAAATAGATAAACCAAGCCAAAGTTTCAGTTATAAACTACAGTTAGGTCACAGAGATCTACTACAGCAAGGCATAGTGTCAATAGCTAGTTGTAAATAGACTTGGAAGATTGTACATTAAATGTCCTCAATGCACACGCACACACACACACACACACACACACACACACACACACTAATAATAATAATAAGAAGAATTGTAAAGCAGGGGGCCTGGCCCTAGCTCAGATCTTTAAGTGGCTGCTTCCACAAAGCTGTCAGCCTCAGGTTGCTGGAGTTCGATCCCCACAACACTCCAGCCAGCCAAACCTACCCTGAAGGCATTCGGAGAAAAAAAAATTGTAAAGCACAAGAATTTCGGAAGAGAAAAATATGTTGATGGCATGGATTGGGGTGATGGTTTCTGGTATTTCTTCCCAAGCCCAGTAACTGTGCACATACACAAAACCCTTGTATGTCAATTTGTCTTCAGTAAAATAGATTTAAAAACATGACTTGAAAATGTATAAATTAGAACAATTGAGTGTAAACCTCCTTAAAATGCCGACTTAAGAGCAGCATACTAACTCTGTTTTCTGCTATTTGCCCTAGCAAGGCTCTCTATATAATGTTCCACTTCTTTTCAAAGGGCTCCCACATTTCCACCATGACGGCCCCGCCTACGGAGTGACAGAAATGTGGAGGAAGGGGCGTAAACACGGGAGAAGGTGCAGCCCTGCCTGGGATCTGGTAGCTCATCAAAAACATTACCAGTATACTTAATCAGTTTGTGTATTCCATTCATGGGGAAAATACATTCCTGTTGTTTATTTTAGGATTTATGTAAAACGTGCTGATAACACTATTTTTTTCCTACCATTCCTGTACAACAGATTTCTAAATCCTCCTCCTGCCACCCACCATTCGTCACCCTCCGTGGTGGGCAAGGTTCTGTGGCCTAATAAGAGCTGGTTGTGCACAGCAGGTGAGCTACACCTAGGAGGTGACACTTCTTTGGTATTTACAGCCCCTCCACATTGCTGGCTTTAGTGCCTGAGGCTCCTGTCAGATCAAATCAGCATTAGATTTTTCAAAGGAGCATTGACAGGACTGAGACCTGTGTCTTCATGATATGTGAGGTATGCGTTCCTTTTAATCAGGAGGAAAATACCCTCTGAAGATTTCTTCCCAAGTCCATGGGAAGATAGTCTTCCAGAGGCGGTTTTGTGGTGTCCAAATGGTTGGGGCACAATGCTGCACATGGCCTAACTTGATTTTCAATAATCATTGAACAGTGACCATAGATATCCATCAATCTGTCTCAACTTCTAAAGACACTGGCGGGGCTGGAGAGATGGCTCAGTGGTCTAAAGCACCTACTTGGAACAAGCTTGGCAAAGCACAGGGACCGCGGTTCAATCC